AATCACGCTTTTCATCTTTTAAAGTGATTTACTGCTTAATTTAACGTAGTAAACTCCCCAAGACAAAGGCAGCAATACAAACTCCATATTTAACAGCTAACTATACTGAGAGTATCTCTCTGGAATGAAGAAGTTTACAGCTTAAAGTTCCTCCTCCCTTGTTTCAGTTTGTGCAGTAGTAATGTGTGGGAGTTTGGCTGGACAGGCCGCGCCTGTCTCTCTGTGCTGCCAGCTAAATCTCCAGTGGGCTACAGAGCCAGCTCAAAATAAATACGTACCCCCTTTCAACCAAGGAATTATCTGGACTTATTTCTCTTTTGGCAGGCATCTGAAGCTAACTAGGGTCATGATCCAATTAGCTGGATCTTCCATTGCCCTACAAACTGCTGTGGATAGAGTAAAACGCTCCGCAACAGGTCAAACTATGATCATTTAAAGGAAACAAGACATCCCAACATAAGCTGACTAAAACTCTGTCAGCCTATGACTTAAAAAGAATTAAATAAGAAAACAGATCTGACCACATTGAACCGAGTTAAATTAAACATTTTGTGGATGCTCATCTATTTGTAATTCCAATATTTACATAAGTCAAACTTCAGAAAATTATAGATGAAATGGACAAACATTTTTAAGGGAATCACTTTGTATGAAAGGAGGATGCTAACAGTCATACACCTCTAATGTTAAGAGGAAAGGCAGATCATAAAAATAATCATTTACCCAACCTGATAAGGTCTCAAATTGGCCAGCTAAAGGCACCAAATGGTTATGTTTGATTGTTTTTCTAACCAACTGTGCAAGTTTGAATTATTTCGCTTTTTTCCTTCTTATTATTAAATTAAACAGAGCAGAAAAGAAGAAACAATTTTAGATCTGTAAAAACTGTTCATTCTGATAAAAGAAAAGTGCAGTTTTCTGAGTTTTCGGGTCAAATGCTTTTATTTTTTATCAAAGAAAATCCTTTCAGTCAATAAAAATTAGATCTTTGTTGAATAAAACTTTGACATATTAGGTAAATGAATTGAATTGATCTGTTATTAAAAACATGCTTGATGTTGGCCATACATTTCTACTTAACTCCCTGACAGGTATTTTTTGTATTTATTCCCAGCTTGTTTCAAAAAATGAAATATTGAGACATTTGTGTACTTTTTACATGTCAAGACAAGATGTTCCTCTTAGTTTAATAAGCCTTTAAAATACAAATTAACAAAGTTCCTTTTTTGTTGTTTAGTTTTATGTTCCATTTCAAAAACGATTGACAAGCCATTATTTCACATAAAAGACATCTGCAACACATCTTAAGTTCTTTAGTTCTTTTATTACGGGATTTTATAGACTGATGAAAAGAAGCAAAAAAATTGCATATATTAAATCAGAGGGCGTTGTGAATACAGCATGATGAAATTAATCAAGAAAGACAAAGGAAATGCATGACATAGTTAATAAAGCATTTTGGTCTAAAGAAAGTTTATTGTTATCGTTTTCTTTTCCACAAACATTTTTAACTGAAGCGCAACGTTATATGAGTTGAAGTGCAAGGAAGTTTTTCTTAAAAGGTCGGGCCAGATGGGGTCAGTAATAATAATCTTCTTGGTTGGACACCTACAGCAAAAGAGAAAGGAAAGTTATAATGACGTCACATATGTGCTGTAGTTATAGTTACCCTGTATTTACACAGCATCTACCTCCCCTGCTGCAAACCTCTCTACCCGCTCTGCTGGGTTTGCGGTGCAAAGCCCAGAGGAGCTCCAAGCTGCAAGCTCATGAAGGCTGGTTGCTTATTTTTGTGCATATTGTTATGTTCAATTACCTAAGTTAATATACAGCCAAGTATTTGATATAACATGCGCTATTGCTGATATATACACACACACACACACACACACACACACACACATATATATATATATATATATATATATATATATGCTCTGGAATTTACCAATATATATATAAAACTAAATCTAGTCCAATTGTAGTGAGTTGCTTGGAAAATCTAGATGCTGTAATCATTAATTTTTCTTTTGATGCAATGTGTTTTAGCAAATCTAATGAGGTCTCGCTCCAGGGTCTAACGAAAAAAACAAATCAAGCAGATTATCATCACCATCTCCCTGCAGAGGCAGGGTAAAGGATTGCATTGATTACAATGGCTGCTTATTTGCTGCAGATTTTGCAGCCTGACAGATTTTAATTCCGGGATCAGAAGTCCAATAAAAAGTGGAGTGTTATGAGGGACAAGTATTTGATTCTAGATTGTACACAAGCAGATTTGATTAAGTTACCGTAGTAGAAAAACTAGGTTTTAAATGATCCATAGCCCATTAATCTGATTAATGGGCTATGGACTGGGCTTTTATTAGGCCACTCCTAAATCTTCTTTTTTACCATTCAGTGGGGCTTTTGCAAGTGTGATTTGGGATCATTGAACCTAAAACATTGATCACTGCTATGTAACTAACAGGCTGATAAAAAAAAATTATAATAGCCAGAATTTTTCAACTGTATTAAAGCAAAATATGTTGTCCCATTAGTTATGTTGAGCTATAAAGAGGTAAAGTAGCTGCAGACTGTAACATGTGTACCACCATGTTTATTGTGGGTATGATTTCCTTTACATACAACCCTATGGTAATATTACTTTGCATGTAAATGGTCAAACACTTTCGTCTTGCAATTCATGGCTGTTCTCCAACAGTTTTGGGAATCATAAAGACATTCTTGGCAGGACAAGCTTTCCTCTTCTCTATGCTCAGCCTCTTTCTTATTGATCTGTAATCAATACTGACCTCAGCGGTTTAGATGTTGTTCTGAGAGAGTCCCCACTGGCCTCCATGAGTTGTTCATGTGCTATTTGGATAATTTAGGCAAGCGATAAGGAGCAGGGATCACTATTGCCACCATGATACCACCAGGCCATTCAGCCGGTAACAGGAACCAAACATTTCTGCTAACTTATGATGACAGCAAACAGAATCCACTCTGACAGCAACCAGCTGGTATGCTGTTGGATGCATTTAGCTAAATAAGCATCTATTAACCTCTGCTGGTATTGTTCTAGTCATCAGATGAAAAAATGAACAGTCTAATGCATTGAAAATCAAAATGAAACCATTCTACTGCAACAAATTGGATTCTGTAAACCTGTGATTTGAAATATGTAAGCTGGTGAGTATTTATCTAAAGAATGTGTTTTATTGAGAATGTTAGAGCAATACCTCCTCACTAAACATTAAGAAGGCATTGCAGAAGGGCTAACAAAAGGTTTAGAGAGCAAACAAACCATGCCAAGAAAATGTTTGAAGGCTACTGAATTTGATCAACCATGTGAAGCAACTCAATGTCTCCATCTGATGGCTGGTCCTAAATCTGCAGTGATGTCATCTCAACAAGACATCAATATTTCTATCTCTTCAATATCAGTATAGCAGTATGCGTTTCACATTTGTAATAAATTGCCCCATACCTCTCACCATATAGAATACTTTTATCCATCACAGACAAGGACTCAATGCTACTGTATATTGAGAACAAAAAAAATCGGTTGCATGTTCAGTCAAAAAATTAACAAAATTTAGGTCTTTTTATTCTTTCTTATACTAAAATAAAGTCCTATAAAATGCAGAAATAAGCAAAGCTCAAAATCAATCAGCTCAACATCCCGCCCCCCCCAAATGTTTTAAATTATTGCATTTATCTTGCACTATGACATTGATTCCTTTCTACTAAAATGGTGCAAGAATATCAAACAAAGCAAACCTGACAGTAAACTGCTAATAAAACAAATACTTTATTGTAAAATGTTTTATTCAAAAACATTCCAAGTAGATCCTTTAGCATATCTTACAAACATCTGGTTTATACACATAATACAAATTATATAAATTGGGTGAGAACTTTAGAGAAATACAAATTACCAACCTTAATTTGTTGGGAGACAAAAAAAAAAAAAACGAAAAAAAAATACATTGGCAAATTAAAAATAACCATCTTAATCCAAACACTCAAGCTTCATTGAAAAGCTGTTTGAATCAAATGGCATCTGACATCCAGAATATGGCCATGATGTAGGAAGAGGGGCTGCTGGTTCTGTTTAAAAGCACAGAAAATCTTCTCAATAAAAGTGAAATGATTTGCACTCCACTGCAATCTCAAACAGTATGGCTCATACTGTCTCTGTATTAAAAAACAATGTTAATTTCTCCACCAAGTTATCATTAATCATTAATACTCTTTTGCCTCATCTAAAGATTAGCTCACATCTTTGTCATCAAAGCCACTTAATCTGAAATTAAAGTTCCGCAGCAAAAATTAAGTCTGCCCCTAAACATTAAAAGAGTAATACCTCTACTGTAGGTTCAGTCTGATACACGAAGAAAAACAACACTTCATTGGGATGGATATGGACGCTTTTTCACATTCATGACAGAAAAAAAAACATAAACACACATTAATGACTAAATAATCAGTTCTGCCTAGCAGCGATTTAAGATTGTTCCCCAGAAACGAGCTTCAGAAGATTGTTGATGCACTTCAAGCTGCAGGACGGTAGCTTGAAATCCAAAAATGAGACCTACATATAAACCAAGCTCTTAACAGACATGCATATATTCAGGAACTTTGCCCAAAGCGTCATTTTTTTGTGCCGCTTTAAAAGGCTGAGCCCTTGCATGTCAATGATCTGATTGTGATTTTAAACTGAGACTCCGTCTGGGGAGCAAAGGAAGGGGTCTCAGCTGCAAGGATGCACAAGACGTGTCCGGATCCGGAGCGACGACTCTTATCTCTGCACATCGGAGACATCTCTTATCGGACGGCCAATTAGGAAGGGGTGATTTTCAGATAACTTTGTTTGAGAAGGTAAAATTAATATCTGTCATCCGGCTTTGAACATGGCTTGTGCTGTTTAAAGACTAAGAAATGCTATGATTGGAAAACCATTAACAGTCTTTTTTTTTCTTTTTCCTTGTTAAACAGATGTGGTAAAGCCTTTGTTTACAAACAGGATATTGAACACGTTGCACTTATATTTGAGAAGACCGATCTTCTGGTAAGGCTAAGCGTAGTCTGGTTGTGTTTTTTTTTTGTATACATTCATAAGTACAGGACTGACAGTGTTGCAGTGATGGTGCTTTTCCTGCAACGGGGTGGTAGGGGGGTTGGGGTGGGAAGAGGAGGGTTAGGACAACCACACATTTTGTACTTTTAACTGTTTGACAATCAGGCTAAGGAAGGCACTGGGTTAAAGTTAGACCACATGAAATGTTTACGCTCTCCGCTATCCATCTTTGAAAAAGCTAAAAATCTAAAAATCTTTAGCCGGAGAATCGGAATTCTCTCTTGAAAAATAAACTTTGATATATTTAGAAAAAAATATCTTCTGCACCTTTGAGACATTTCAGCAAGAACAGTTAAGCAAAAGTAAGTCGCTTAAAAACCAACCAACCAAAAAAAAAAAAGCTAAATGCTTATGGCATTTTGGTTCTCAAATAAGCATCTGTTTGACGCCAACTGAACTAGAAATCTAGAATAATGAAATGATTGAGGCTTTTGTGCCAAAGAAGAAAGGAGGTTTAAGAGTTCTTTGAAATGATAGAACAGCAGAAATGTTTGAGAGTCATAATAAAGTTGAAATAAAAAATAAATTAGTGTGCTTAAAAAAACCTGCTGAAATGGACAACAGAAGGATAATAAAACTGTCTAGACAGTCACAGTGCTACCCATTTAGACTGGGATACTCCTGTTAGTAAGAGTGAAGAAGACGGCGCTAAGGTGCCATCTTTCATGGATTAAAAAATATATATATATATAGCACTTGTTTGAGTCACAGTCCTAGCCTAACTCAGATAGACAGGGGTCACTGGGTGTCCAGTCGGCTGTACTTCACACCCCGGTTCCAGTGCAACGCCCGCAGTGAGAGAGGCAGCTGGTAATTCCGAGGAACTGTGCCGTTCACGTTCTCTTCAAAATACTGGAAGAGTCTGTACCACCACACCCGTGCAAACATGTTGTTCTGTGAGGTCTCCTTCAGTGACTGAAACCACAGAAACACAAAAGGAGTCAAAGGAAAATCTAGAGCAGTCTTCAAAACAAGTGCATGCTGCTGTTTTCACACCTTTGGTTGTTTGTGAAACCAAATTTAGAAATTCACAAATTGATTCTGCTTTGAGAGCTTTTTGCTACGCTATGTTTATCTATTCTTTTGGTTCATCACTTCCTACAGCAGGGCTATATCAGGCAAATAAAACCCATAAGGAGCAGACCAGTCAATCCAGTGTAAAATACTGAGGGGCTAAAAGATTTAGGTCAAATTTATTTCAGATTAAAACTTTAAAACCATTTTAACTTCTATCATTTTTTTTAGTTTCGTTTTTTTTTTTTTAGTTTTACATGCTCAACAGTACACTAAGCCTGCAAAATATAAATTAATAAGGAAAACAGTCTGACTTTGATAAAAAAAAAATAGCCAAACAGTAGCCTAAAATGTTCAGGCTTATTGTCGTTGTCTGAATCTTGTTGTTTTTTTAGTCTGATAAACAAAAACAGGATATGAATATGAATCAATTTAGCCAAGTCTAATAAATTGGTTCCCCAGACTACTTTTCTGTCAAAGTCACTAGATGTGTTTTTTTCTTTTTACTAAAAATTTTATTAAAGTTGAAAAATCAAACAAACCTTGTGGTAAATTATGCTTTTAATTGTACAATTGTTTTTTTAAAAGCCAGTAAAATTGCATAAACATGTATCTGCAGCAAAAAAATGCTGATGCTATTCTTGAATTCTGGCAAAGTGTCCCTCAAAATCATCCTGAGGGCCTCAAACGGCCTCCGGACCACACTTTGAATTTAGATAGTCTCACCTGTTGGTTGGCCATGGTGTGGTACCACCAGAAGAGGCGTGTAGTGATAAAGTAAGCCACGACCACGTCCACAGTGTAGTGGTCGTGGGCCAGAAGGATGCAGAAAATCCCGACGGCGCTCAGCGCCAGGCAGATCCAGTGGTACCACCAAAAACGCCTCGGGGAATCTGGAAGAGACACGGAGGAAACTCACTGTTATCTCTGTAGGAAAGTCCTTTATTCATTATTCACAAATGAGATTTTTTTTTTATTAATGTTGCCTTTAAATGTTTGTACACGACATTAGGCTGCATATAGTAGTTTGTTAGATAATGAAATGGTACCAAAAGTTAAACTGATATAATGTGGCACCTCAGTGGTACAGTCAAAGCTCTTCTGCTTTGTAACCACTAGATGTCAGATCTGCATCAATTTGATTAATGGACATACACCAAAAAAATATCAACATATGTTTTAGCCAATTGAAAAAGAAAATAAAACACCAAATATGAAAGAAAATCTAATAATATATCACATAAATGTGGCAGTTCTCTACCATGCAGACAACTTTAAGTGAAGCAACTGTGAGGCGAAAACACACAAGCTTACACAATAGAGCCTGAAGTTTAAAAGAGAGAGTTGCAGGTTGAAGCGCGGTCACATGGACTGCCTTGTTTTAACACAACGAAACCAATCTTGCATGGAGGACGAGCATAGAGTGCTACACTTCCTCCCCATCGTTTTACCTCAAAACTTCCTGAAGAAATCAGTTGTTAAAGCAAAATCAAACGACTATCACAAAGGCGGAAGATACAAACAGGACTGTTTAATTAACAGCAACTGAGTTTAAAAACACTAATTCTTTTTGCTCGAATGTGATAAACGATTCTGCAAACCTGCTACCTCTACAGTATAAAGCAGAAGACAATGTGGCTGAGAGGTCAAAGGTCCTTACATTCTTTGATGAAGAGGAACGTGAGCGTCAACATGACAGTGTGGCCACTATAAAGATAATCTCCACACATGGTGTGGGAGCCTGTGATGGAGAGGCCGCCGCCGGCAATCATTTTCATGATCCTTCTCGTCTGTGCTTCCCAGTCGCCAAGTAGCTGAAACAGGAAATCACACATTAGAAAAGCATCAAAGGACACAAAAACAGGAACGTCTAAGGATGAACAGGAGAAAATCAAGAATCAATAACTACCTTCAATTTTTATGGCTTGAATTAATATATGTCATTTTTAAAACCCTACATTTCTTAATTAAAGCTGAAGGGACCCTCTATATAAGGCCTACAAATACAAATCATTTACATTCTTTCTCATCAATACAATATTTGAAAATGTTCCAGTCAAAGACTCGTCTCTTTTTAAAGAATTAACCTCTTTAACACCAGCTATGACAAATAAGTGTTTTACTAGAGGAAAAACATCTGGTTGAACTAGTCATACTTCCCCAAACCTTCAAAATAATAGTCTGAGCACCAGAACTGAATCTTAAACTAATCACTGCTTCAAACCCATATTGAATGTGAAAGATTTAAGCAGCAAATATAAAATAATAATAAAAAAATAAATAAAAAAAATATTGATTTCTTTTCAATACCACGAATTTAAAAAAAAACTGGTCATCTTAAGGACTTGAGAGTAATTATAGCTTAGGCTATATTGTTCTATTAAGGCCAGGGAGACAGATATGGATATCTTTAAAATAGGATTACATTATCAAAAGGCAATACAAGCTGGGAACTCACGGTGTGGCCAAACTGCAAACCTACCTAAAACAAGGCTATTAACCCAAGCTGACATTCCTTGTGAAAAAAATAAATAAATAAATGAAAGATTTTAGAAAAGCAGTCAAGATAAACGGCTGAAGTAGAAGAATGTGTTAACACAACAACTATCAGCTGTGCCCTCCTCATAAATCTGGCCTTTATCAACAAGTGGAAAGAAAGAAGCCTTTGTTAAAAGAAAGAACACATGGCCCACATGCAAAATGCAGCATGTTAAAGAAACATTGAATTGTGCAGTAATCTGAACAAATGTTCCTCTACAGTAAACATGGTGGAGTTAGCCTCCAGCCGTGTGCAGGCTCTTCCTCGGCTGGGACAGAAAGGATGGAGTTTTAGAGGTGATGGCTGTAGCTACATATGGTCAACCCTAAAGTAAATCTGAGAGCCTGCAAAATCCTTTCAGCAGCACAACAAACATGCGGCCAGAACTAAAACGCTTCATACAGGAATGTGTGAGTTAAAATGGAATAGCCAAAGTCCAGACCCGATGCTGATTAGGAATTTGTAGCAAAACCTAAAAGTTTTTTTTTTTTTTTTTATACAGACGTGCAGTCTCTGGAATTAAACAGGAGGTAGAGATCTAACTAACAGCATTAAACAACCAGTGTGCCCCACTTTTCACTCCCCAATCAAGAACTGCTTTATACTGATCCATAATAACCATAAATGATTTTTGTTGCAAAGTAACAAAATGTGATGAAAGTAAAAGGGTAAATAAGGCTAAAAAAAAAAAAGTCTACACAGCTACAATAGAGCAATCCAAAAAATGTAACATACACGTCTTTAGCCAGGAGCAATTGAAGCTTTTAATGTAATCAAAACTACTTCAAGCAACAGGTCAAAGGTCAAAGATTAAGCTAGTTAGAAGTTAGAATACCTGATTAAAGAAAAGCTCTTGGTGAGCAAATGTTGTTTAGCAATTTACTTTTCTTTAACTGATAAGTTAGCATTTATTTTCAGACAAAGCAGCATGTAGATACCCTACCTTTGGTGAGCATTTAAAGTGCTTCCCAGGAACCGGAAGAGTAGTGATATACATTGTGATACATCGGTACAGGTAAAGTGTTCCCACAATGAAGAAGAACCTCCTGCCTATTATTGATCTGTGAAAAAAAAAGGGAAAAAGAATAAGTTAGCATCAAGTTTTAAAAGTGTAAATATTTGTCTGTGCTCGAAAGTCCTAAGGATATATATGTGAATGTGGAGCGACTGGCATCTCCAAAAGATCACAGCTACCCCATCTGTTGCTGTACACTGTTAGAGAGCCAACTCCTTTACTATGGCCCTAGCTTACATAAAATGACAAATTAAAGTATGGTTAATCATAAACCCCAACACCTAATTATTCCCAATGTAAACAAAAAAATGTGTTGAGTCTATTAGGCAGAAAAAACTCAACAAATTCATACTTTTCCAGTTTAAAGTTCCTATATGTTTCCAACAGCTGTTAGAACACACACACACACTAACATATACATGTCCAGGATCTAAACAGGACGCAGTTTAAGTCCAGTTTAAAGGTTTGGCGTAAAGAATAGTGAGTTGGCTCATTTCTGAGCCCGTGTAATGGTAAATAAAATAGACATAATATAGGACATAATCTAGTGAAAAATGTATGTAAAAGCCTTTATTTTTCTACATTTTTTCTTAAATCAATAAAAAGTTAAGCATTTCTCTCAATTTTATATTTTCCAAAGAATAAGATTTGAAAAATGAAAAAAATTATTAATATTTAAACATCACTGATAACATATCTACAACTGTAATAGGTATTTTTAACAGCAGTAGGAATACTCGTGGCATTTCTGTTTTAAATAAAAGCAACTAGACCGCGTAATTCATTTCAGTTTTATTTCTGTGTAAACACAGTGAAACTGTGGTACTTTAAATCAGGCTATGAGAATGTTATACGGGTCCCCTGTCTAGTCTAGACATGGCTGAACTCAAAACAAAGCTCCTCCCTACCTGTGCTTGAGAAGAGTCCATTGTATCAGCCACAGTCCCACCAGCAGCATGCCATTTATCTCACAGATGGAGAAAGCCCACTCACGCCTGTCAAACAGGTCGAAAAACTTATCAGGCAGAGGTGGGGTCAGCTCTTTCGGAGGAACTCTTTCATGGACCACTGAAATGACCACACTGGTGGTGACGAAGCAGACCACAGCATAGATGAATCCTATGCCTGTCTTCCCCCACTCTGTAGGGAATGAGGAGCGAGTGGGTTCTATTGTTGGCATAGGAATGTGGATCATCTCCTGTTTAAAGTCTTTCCTCCCCGGAGTGCCGTTCCTCTGCACCTTACTAGTTCCATTGGGGATCCCCACTAAGTGCCCGTTGGCGTGACCGTTTTTATGATCCTCCAAATGGGTCTCAATCCGCAGTATTTCCATCCGCTCCAGTAACCGCTGTCCGCCATCGGATGACACTCGTGAGAGGGGAGGCACATTAAAATCTGCCTTGGTGAGCCTGAGCAGAGCGGGCCCGTCTATCTGAGTGAGAGCGTCTGCATACTCTGGCATCCCCTCTCTGCTCAGCCAATCAGAAACATCTGCTGCCGACCATGATTCCACCCTCTTCATCTTGGCCAGTGGTCAAAGGTGAGAATTAGGAGAGTCCTCAGACTAGAGGGCAAGGTCTATTGGAGGCCTGGAGGTCTATGAGGCAGCAGTAAGACGTCTACGGTTTGGAGACATGATGCGTCTTTCATCCAGAAGTCCAGGTCTCTGTCGTCATAGAAGAGAGAAGCAAGGCAGCGGATGTATCTCAGGAATGGGTGGAACAGTCGGCTAGCTTCACCTCAGCAGCTTCTTCAACGGAGCTCTGTTAAAAGAAATATAGATTGAAAAGCTGAAAAAAAAACTGCTTTAATTCACTAATAACTTAAATACATTATTCATAATGCAGACAACATGTTATACTGGAACTCTACCAAATAATCATTTGATTTTCCCTTAAATTTCTCATACTTATCTGGGAGCGGGGAAGCAGTTGCAACAGTGTCTCTGCAGAGACTGCTTTTCCCTTTAAAATACTAAAACATAAAATCTGCTTTTAATAATGAAAGTATTTTTTTCTTTTTTAGATTATTTTTAGGCTCTATTGGCCTTTAAGTTTTGTATTTTTAAAAAGTAGTTAGACAGAAAACTCGCTTAGAGAGAGGAAAGACATGCAGCAAAGGTTACCAGGCCGGGACGTGAACCTGCAATGGTTGGGTTATAGCACATGGATCGCACTCTTTATCCCTGTACCCCCACTGCCCCCAACTATAAATTAAATGCAATTAAAGTCTGATAATGGTTATGTTTAAAATATACTTTAACGGCAAAGCTAGGACGAACCGCTTTCTACTGCTGTTCAGCAGCGTCCTTTGGCAGTGGTAATAGCCTGATAAACCAGACCAAATGTGAGATTAAATGTGTAATTTAGTCTAGCCTTGATGAATAAGACATTGGGAGATTGTTGATGAAAACAACCCATTGTCTTTCAAACCATGTCTGTGTCTATTGGTCAACGATCTGACCAATGAGCGCAATTGACTGTGACGTAGTAAGCGCAACAGAAAGCTGGTGGGGGAGTGTAAACAAACAGAATGTGATGTGAGCAAGGCTTAACTTGTTGAGATCACCGCGTTGGACTACTGTTGTCGTCTGTGCAAAAAAGACATGCGAGTAGCTGTGGTACTACACCACTGTATCCAACTCTTCTGAAGTTTAAATCAACCGTTGTCAGTGGCAGAAAGATTACAGAAAGTTGGGAGTGAACGTTTCGATTACACCGGGGAAATTCAATCGAGTCTGTCGAGCTTGTACAACGGTGTTGAATAGACTGGAAAGAGATCTACCAATTTA